GATCTTGGGAATGGTCATATTGGCCACTGCAACCAGGGAAACAACATGTACCTCTTTCCAGGCATTGGACTTGGTGCTCTTCTATGTGGCTCCAGGATCATTTCCGATGGCATGTTACAGGCTGCAGCAGAGTGCCTAGCAGCATATATGACTGAAGAGCAGGTTCTCGATGGGGTTATATACCCTTCAACATCTAGAATACGGGATATAACAAAGGAGGTAGCTGCAGCTGTGGTAAAGGAGGCTATTGAAGAGGATTTAGCAGAAGGATACCGTGAAATGGATGCCCGAGAACTACAAAAACTTCCCCCCCCCCCGAGTCAAATCAACCGCGGCGCGTCTGCCGCGAACAACTAGAGTCACCAACCACCCTCATCCTTGTTGGCTGCAAGAGCAATGGCGTACCACAGACCAGGCCAACAGTCTTAGCCAATGATGAATTTGTCGCTTGGTGTGTACCGACAACCGACATACCCTCAGACTGCACGGAACTCGGGAGCGCCAGGCTGAACAGGCGAGAGCCGGCTGACCAGCGAGCAAGGCGACAACCAAAGCACGCAAAAGAGCACCCTTCGTCTACCGGCGTAGACAACATAGAAACGTCACCACACACACCTCTTTCTAGCAAAAAGCGGCGAACAAAAGGACCCCCTGATCGAGAAGGCCAGAAGCACCAGGTGAAAACGACAACCCCCCCCACACACACGCATAAACAACAGCAACAACAACCCCCCCCCGCAAAAATGCAAATAGGCGAATGCAAATGCCAAGCAAGGCTAAGCACGTCCGTACGAGCCAGAAACGCCGGGAGTGGCACAAAAGGTGTGTTGGTTCCCATGCCATCCCAAGCAAACCAGATAGCCAAGAACGCCAGGATTTGCCTCGTTTTTTTTTGTTTTCACAAGCAACCACACGCAAGAAAGAGGAGAACTTAAATCCACCTATTGTGGCACAAAAAAAAAAAGAGACTGTCGTGAAAAAAAAAAAAAAGAGAGAGGCAACGCAGGCCTGTTTCTTTTCTCTTCCGCCCTCGGCTCCTCCCCCGCTAACAAAACAAATAAGGGGGAAGACCGAGGCATGAAGAGAAAAACATCAACTCTCTCCCCTACTCTCTTCCTATAAAATTGTTGATAATTTCATCGTGATAAGCGGCCAGATAAGACAGAAAAAGGTACACTCTCTTTCGTTCCTGTGGCTTTCATTCTTGATAGTACCCTCTGGCAACAGGGCAACAACCAGTCAAAAAAAAAAAAAGACAATCAAGAGGCTGAAATCGATCTCTCTCCCTGTCTCTTCTCGGAAACCAAATTGGCTACAACAATCGGAAAACCACAAGCAGAATCTTTACAGAAAAAAACAAAAACAAAACATACACCATGCACATACACAGCAAGCACGGCACCGGAGAATCAAAACTAACCAGCGCCCGAAGTTTCAAAGAGCCGAAACAAACAAAAGACCCCAAAGAAAACGGCCATGCCCGATGCTAGGAAAATAAAGCATGTACAACACAATCGACGAAGGGGGGTAAACGGCGGAGGCGGGGGGGGGAGGGGGGGGGGCTCCGTGGCGCCCCCTTTCTGCCCAGGAAAAACACGAATACTTGTCCCGCAGACAAGGGAGGAAGAAATGGGGGCGTACGCATCATCCTAGCCGGCCTGTCTCCTCGACAGGTAGGGGACATCATGCTCTTGTCCCCTGGTTCGACAGGTAGGGGACAGCAAGCTCTTGTCCCCTGGTTCGAAGAAGCAGATGCACACAGCGGTTCATGAAGCTAGTTAGCGGCTGCGCCCTGCTTTGCCGAGGGCCCAGCGGACCTTGGTCAAGTTCTTGCGCGCACGCGCAACCTGCGATTGGAGGACGAAACGCAGCAAAAAGCAGATAGAGATGCAAGCGTTTGTTGGCACGATGGATTGTGGCAACTGCTGTCGTGCAGAGACAAGATTTCTTGCGTGCTCGCCCCCGGGAACACGCAGCAGTCTAGGACCCCATAGTCAGTGTAGTACACATGCGTGAGTGCTGATTGGTGCTTTCATACCTGGGACTGCCTACGCAAAAGAAAGCAAGTGTGAGAACGAAAAAAGACCAGGGCGGGGTACTCGGACCCCAACCGTAACGTAACGTAGCCGATTCTATACTTTTTACACGCAGTTTGTTTGCTTCATTTTCCTTAGAAGAAACTGCCGTAGTAAACCCCAACCCCAACCCTACCGTAACTAAGCCGATTCTATGTACTTCCTACACACAGTTTGTTTGCTTCATTTACTTGGAAAAAACTGCTAAATAGTAACCCCAACCCTAACCCTACCGTAGCTTAGCCGATTCTATACTTCTATCCAGTATGTTTGCTTACTCAAGAGAGAAGACCTGGGCGTGGACTACGTCTTACCTGGGCGTGGTGAGGTCCGTAGACGTTCTCAGCGATGGTGACGGCCCTCTCCTGCACCTTCTCCGCCTCCTCCAGCTTCTTGCGCGCCTGGGGTCGTTCGAGAAAAAAAAAAAAAAACGTTTTGGGTTGCGGGTATGCAGGTGGTAGTGAGCGACGGTTGCTGCTGCTGCTGTTGACGGAAAAGTGTTGGTTTTGGTGCTGGTGGTGGTAGAAGTACGGACGTTGTTGTTGGTTTGCTGCCGGTGGCGAAGGATGTCATTGTCGTGGAGGTGGTTTGCTCTGTTGCTATGCGTACACCCACAAGAAAGTATCAATCGTATGCACACACGTATGCTAAAACAACAAAGTGACCAGTACACTGCCGAAACAACAAAACTATCGCGGTGATTCTATTCATATCCTTCTCTTTCTTACCATGAGCAGTCGCCCCAGGTTGTTGACCCAGGTGGCAAGGTCGGGGGAGTTGGGTCCGAGAACCTGCTCTCCAATCTCTACCGCTCTCCTCTGGAGGGGCTCCGCCTCCTCCAGCTTGCCCGCAGCCCGGACCAACCTGCCATCATCGATCGTCGTCGAGAGGTTTCTTTTTTAGAAAATACACGCACGACCAATCACTGAAAAGGCAACCTGGTCGAGAGATGAAAGCGCATCGGTCGCCTTCGGTTCTACGGTAGCTGCCGCTGTACGACTGCTGTGTCATC